TACCAGCATGTTTATTAGGATAAAATAATGCATGCATGCATGTCAGTAAAAATACTGAAAAACAGAACGCAGTATTATTGAATGCAGAATATTATTGTCCTTAACCCTATAAAGCCGGACATATTAAATAATACATGGGGGGGGGGCAGTTTACTGAACCTTTAAACAAATTATCACAACCAAAATCTAAATTTTCTTGTCTAAATCTAAAGTGTTTTATGTTTTGTAGCATAATTCACAAATCAGGCTCACACTTGATAAGGAAAAAACATCCAGACTCTTTTTGCCCAAACTGACCAAAAAATATGTATTTTGGTGCAGTAGCTGATATTTATATAACAAAAATGTAAATTGCAATTCTGATAGCTTGTAATAGAAATCTTTATAACAGTACAGCATACTATTTACAAAAATTGCATATACATATCAGTTGTCAGTCACTATATATCTCCTAATAATGTCTTAGTAAGATGATATTTTAAATGCTTCATTTTATGATCAAAGTTCTGTAGTTTTTACTGTGGGAGGCAAAAACATATAATGCAATCTATCACTAAGAGATGTAGAAATAAACTTTCCTTTAAAAAAAGCCTGTTGTATCGTATTTGATACATAGGCATTATTTTTGTAAACAATTATGTATAGATAATAAAGTAAAACTAAGTTGCTTTAGTACCATACATGTTTATGTTGAAATATTAATGCAAATAAAACATCAGTAAGGATTTTGCATCAAAAAGATATGTACCACAACCTAAAGGTTGACATCAAGGACTTTTAAAAACAATCAAAGGGCAGAAGGCATGAAAATAAGATTTTTGTTTTAATATTGTTCATAATGTAGAGGGGCCTTGTATTCATGCATCAAATATGATACAGTAGGCTAACAGGATTGGAGATGAATGGTGTCAGCTACTCACCAAAATCTAGATGCTGATGCACATCTTCTTGAACTGAGTATAAAGATGTTGACCTCAACACAGTGTGTGAATCTCTTCTGTAGCGGTGAAATTTAGAGCCGGGGAGTAATGCTTCAGCCACCCTGACAAGGATAGAAAGAAGATGAGAGTTCAAAAGTAAATATATGGATGAACTGGACCAGGCTTTATATAAAAGAAGAACAACAAACTAGATTTTTTTTTGGAATTTCTAAAGAACTTTTTCTTTTATGAAGACTATTTTTCTAAAACAAATTCTATGGATTTGGTAACGTTCACACAAATTGTCCTTACTGTACAGTCATGACACACTGAAGGAAGTCCCGTGTTACAACTGTGTGACAGTTTATGACCCCATGACTCTGGAGCCAACTCTGCACTACTTTCTCGGTCAGCTGAGATGGCTGTACAAGAGCAGCAACTTCTTCCAAACTCAGATACTTCCCTAAAATATAAATGAGAAAATGAGAACTGGTTTCTTTATTTCATATTTTTTTATTATATAAAAAGAGATGCTCAATACCATATTGTTGTGAATCTGGGTCCGACACTAGTTTCAGTAACTCTTCCATCTGGTTAACATTCTGCTGCTTCAGTGCAAACGTAAGTTCCACTTCCTCCAAAGGCCCAACCCGTTCAACAAGAATCCAGTCCTCAGGCACACTAAACAATGGGAATAACATTAGCATATATGTTTCCATGATCCAACTTATGTGAAAATTGGAATATGGCATAAAATATTTGCAAATAAAGCACCATTTTCATCCCATGTGTTCAAGAAAGAAAACAAAATCATCACTTCCTGGTTAATTGGCACAAAAATATCTGTACCAATGGAAGTTGCGGTAACTAAATGCAATAAATGCGGTCATGCCATCATGTCATATTGCATTCAGATGCTGTTTTTAGGGAACACAATCATGTGAGATATGCTTCTGGAAGGGAATTAAACCAAATCATTCTGATGACAGACTTTGGCTCAGGCATTTCAGAATGACCAACCAACATTTGAGATGAAATTGGTTTGCTGGTTAGTCCAGTTATCCAATCACATCCACTGTTGAGTCATGTATTTTTGTTGCACATTGAGGTATTTCAAATGTAAATGTGTTTCCATAATGAAATACTTGCACATCTTCTAATTGGATTAAAAAAAAAAACTTTTATCCACCTCAACTGAGCGCTTACATTTTTAAAGCGCATTTTTAGAATTTGTTCATCTCTGTGTCTCCATCTATGTTGTCAAATGATATCCCAAACTGCGCATGAAAATAAGTGGATGCAACATAACTATTGTTAAAGTCCTGTTTAGTGTAAAAAGCCATATTATATAGAAATTGCTTATACCGATCACTTAAAGTCACATAAAGTGACCAATACAATTCATAGTATAGACTTACGAAGCATCTTGGTCAGCCTCAAGCAGCTCCCCACTGACCAGCCAAATTAAGCTCAGGACAAAAACAGCAATCCTGTAAAAATAGAACACTGTCACTGAATAGAACCCACTCTGATGGACATTCAATTATTTTATGGTAAACGCACAAGAGCAAGAGGTTACTTTTACTGACCTTTGTCTTTTTAACTCTAACAGTAAACTTAAACAATTAGCATTAGACAGTAAATTAACAGTACACATGGAAGGGAACACGTTTGTCTTGACCATCTGACTTCGTAAGGTAAACCATGATAGTCTGTGAGACTTACAAACAGTCTTTGCAAATGCGATCAATAAACTATGAGTACTGTAAGATAACGTTTGGTAAGTACTCACCGCATTGTTTTCGCGTTCATGCACCTTGATATCTGATTCTGAAAAACACCTTAACACCAATGCCTGTGAGTCTATGACCGAGAGTCGTAATCATGTGATGGTCACGTGACCATCAGCTGATCTTTTATTTTGATTGAGGAAGTTTGTGCCGTAAGCTTGTATGGCTGTAATGTGTGCATATGAAAACTTGTAAGAAATGCTGAGGAAGTCTTAGTTTTCGTAACAATCTTATACTAAGTGTATATAGGTTGTTTTTATGCGCACATTTTTGAAGGCATTTTATATTAGTTATACTTTGACGTCTGTACAAAAATTTCCAGCCAAATTATTTTCGGCTAAAATGCCATAGTTGCCACGTAGTAGTATTTGCCTGATTTTCTTGTCAGTTCAGACCTTGACGTTTGAGTTGGTTACTTGTCCTTTAAAAAAAAACTGATTAATATGCTGTATAATACTGTAATAATACTGTATTATATTACTGTAATAATATATCGCCCATTAATAGATTTTAATTTCTGACACTGCAAAACATTTAATTGAGATGGAAGTTTATTTAAATTTGAGGGGATAATGATCCTCTCTACTCATGACACGGTGCGTCATGGGGAAAAGTGTTTTGAGCTTTATAATTGTACTGTTTATTTAGTGTAACATGTCCATTCCTTCTTATAAAAATATACATTTACACAGAACAAAAATACTGTAAATGACAAAAGAACAGTAACTGGTGTCTAGTCCCTGCAAACTATTTCAGAGCAATTAATCAAAGGTCAACAAATGGTTGAGTGGAAAAATACTGTATGGACATATTTAGATTGTTTGAGGGGTAATAATATTATTATTTTTTTGTCACTAATACTTTGCAGTCCAACTCTTTCTGATAGCATTATTAAAGGAATGGCATCTGTTTATCTGATGGATCTGTCTGACCAGTCATTGGAAGTTAGATTTCAAAGAGCGCAGAAAGAAGACGACAGAGCTCATGATCTTAAATGTTAAATGTTCATTTGGCTACTAGAATGTGTTTAGTCTGCTGTCTCTACTGAACATCACTTATTAGTATGGCAGACATGGATGAGGTCAGAAAGGAAGCAGGATAATTGTACTTCCTTGCAAAAAAAAATAAATAAATAACAAAAAAACTGAATTTAATCTGGATTGCTGTCTAATCCAGACAGCAAATCAACACAAAAACAGCTGCATGTTGACATGGATGATCTACAGTATTTTAGGCCCAGTGTTAGGGTAGTGCCATTGGACATATGCTTTACCTCAACATTGTGATCCAAGGTTGAATCTCCATGGTATGCCACATTTTAGGCTGGACATTTTGAGATTTCCGGTTTAAGAACTTGAGCATATTAGCTGTGAAGAAATAATAATGGATGGTTATGTTCCCTCTTTGATTCCAGTGGTAAGAAAAGAAGCATACACTTGACTGATTATGCATATGATAGTCGTTATTTCTTGTATGTTCACAAGATGTAAATAGTAGAAAAATTGATAGAATTAAGAAAGAAACATATCTAAATCCCAATGCATTCACTATTGGGAATATCATAAATCAAAGTAAATGTCTGTGGTACCTTTATAGTAATCTTTTCGTAGGTTGTATTTTTGTCCAAATCAATTATTTGATCATTTTTGGTGTTTACACAAAAAAACACTAAGAAGTATTGCCTGGAGTAAGATGTGAGGCAACTAGTCTCAATCTCCCCTAAATCTATAAGAAAATGTGTAGCCTACACCAAACTGAGTTTTTGCAAAGTGAAAAGAAATGTTACTGTTAGCATTTTAAAGTAAGCGATTAAACTTCGCAGAAACGTAGGCTATAGCTTGGGTCTTTTCAACTGTAGATGGCAGTGCGCGCACATTAAATGGGACGATTGCGCAAAAGGTGTAGCATGAAAAGCACCAATTTTTAATTAAAATGGTATCATTGACTTCCAATACGTCTATTTATGTCATGTTCAAGCAGCAGAAGATAATTTGTCAATGTCATAAAAAACAATTGACCTAGCCTACATAGGCTAAGAAAATTCCTAGCAAAGCAGAATAAGCGGACAGGAAACCTTTCATTGTTTATTATCAGTTAAACTCATTCGGTTTAGCAATTTATTGATGTAAAATTGGCATTCTACCTGGCTATAATATTAGTCCTCTGAGAATATTGATGGGGATTTGAAAACACAAAATAGGCCTATCTTTCCAACGGGGGGCGCTCTTTGAGTACTAAGCAACAGGCATTCCGTGTTACTCACATTCAAGATATTAACACTTTCTAAAGAGCAAAGGGGAGTTTCCAAAGTCATCAAGTCCATCCAACTTTACCATTTTCGGCCAGAGACCACTGAAAATGACTCCCAAGAAGACTGCCGCTCCCTTCCTATGGCTTTCCTTTTGCTTTGGGAATATTATTGAGGCAGTGGTGCTGGGATCGGCGCAGTACCCCTCTGATAACGGGCTTCACTCACATCTGGATGCGCGCGGTCCTGCTGAAGACAGCACGAGCTCCACATCTGTTCATGTTCCGTCTTACATGATCTCTCTGTACAGGACTCTATCGGAACTGGACCGACGAGGAGGCAACGGCAGCCAGACGCGCACCAGGAGATATGCCAACACAGTGACCAGCTTCATGGACCTGGGACAAGGTGAGTAAGATGGACAGATGGTTTGTAAAAATGATCTCATTCCGGCCATCGGTGCGGATTTCATATAGTACCTTCAGATTGAGCCGGATCTGGGGTTTTTTATATATTACTTGGCACATAAAATCATTATTGTAATAAATTATATGCTGCCGTAATAAATCACCCAATATCATGCAGCTCACACTGTGATGATTGATCTCTTTGACTAAGAGTTTATAGGCTACATTAAGAAACGCCTATTTTACCCATGATATTGCATAGACATTCTCTGATGGTTTGGATGATATTATGATCTGTCAAATATGCCTAATTTGTTGCCGATTAACAATAATAATAATTAGGCTATTAATTATAGGCCCAATTACGAACCGCAAATTGCACTTAAAATATCATATTTGGTTTAGGCTATGCATTATACATTAATAAGAGAAATGCGCAGTTCTGCGTGTAGCCTATTACAGTTACGCAAAAAGACTGTTTTTCTTTTCCCAATTAAACTCGAAAAGAACAATAATTTAGTAAAGACTATCTGTGCGACTGCGTGATTCGTTTTTGAAGCTCAAGTTTTTTGTTTAGGATCATCTACTCCCCGATAATATTTTCGAAATAGGCCTACATAAAATACCAAAAAATAAATATGAAGTCAAATGTCTCAAATTTCCACCATCTGTGACACATAAACTTCAACAGCACCTTGAGTTAAAGTAGGCTATCTAAGCACGCGTTCTCCCCTCCAGGTGTTGCTGATAAAGATGGAGAAACATTTTAATTTAAAACTTATGTTCAAATAAAGATTGCCACGTAAAAATACAGAATTTGTTAAATGTGTCAACTATCCGCCCGGCCAATTATGGGGATTTGCGTGAAAACTTTTTTTTAGTAGGTAGGCTAGTATAAAGTTAAGAAGGTTCTGTTCTTGAATTTTCGATGGATTGAAGTGACATTCTTACATTTGAGGCCACAGCCTTTGAATAATAAAAAAGCGCCCAATGTCACATTTGTTTAAGGGTGGACAAATGAGGGTGGACACATTTGTTTAATTTACATTGAGGGTAATAGAATTAGCATTAGCCTATATGAGTTCCAAGCATCATATTTCCACCTTATATTTGCCCACATTTAGTTAAAAATGGAGTCAAGAAATTTGATTCGACCTCTCTCCGAGTTCTTACAAAAAAAAAAAAAAAAAAAAACGATGGATGTCACTTTGTTTTAAAAAATAGTGGGGGACCGTGGTGGAGATGACGTCACTAAATATCGAATGCATGGATCATAAATATTAATTTGGCAGAAATGGCCAAAAGTAATTTAAACCACAATTTAATTAGCACTTTTGCCAACATAAAACTAAGTTACACAGTGATATAAAGCAGCAATTATTTTTACTGACCAATTTAAGTGATAAAATTAACATTTAAATTATACCTTCACATATACATCTGATGCTTTTGGGCCCATAATTAACATGAGTGTGGCATGCTTCTTTGTGAAGATTGTCCCACCTGTTCCCATCATAAATTATGCCCCCCAAAAAAGATTCTAAACAAATTATTTATATTTATCCAATGTATGGAAAAATAGTATTAAAGTTATAACCAAAATATGACTGTGCACTGTCTGAAGCCATAAACTTTAAGAAATTCAGACAATATTTGTAGACCCCAAGGTACTTGACTGGAACTTGAGTTGCCTCAGCTCATTTTCTAGGTTATGTCATTGTTTAGTCTGGCAAGCGGATATTAGCTTAGAGGAGGATGCTTTACTCTACCTCTCCCCTCTGTTCACCTTTCTTTCTTTATTTTATAGCATTTCTTTGTTTCAGAGAGATGTATAGTGCTTTTCTTTCAAAACACCTCTTTTGCATGCTCTGTGCACTTATGTAACAGTTTGCAATTATCATTCTGAAGGTCTCTCTCATAGTGTAGCATCAATATATGTCCCGATCTGTCCTTTGTGCAGCCACCTCATATTGGAAGAATCCTCTTCATGTTTAACCCATGAAACTGCAGTCTCAGTATCAGGTTGCATGCTACTCTGGGTTCCATGTTTGAACGGTATGTCAAGATGTCAACATGGAAGCTTGTTTTACTCTAAACGCAAAGTCTGGTCTCTCTTAGCAAAGGTTGGTTCTGCATCATCTCAGTCACGGATGAGAGGCTGAGTATTGGATGGGTTCTGTTAGCCAATTTCTTTCTCCAGACAAAGAAAAAGAGAGGACAACATCTTGCAGACAGAGATTTTGTTCCCTGCAGCGAAGTTAGCTGTGCGAATAATGAAAGACCAGTTCACGGTGGCCACAGAAAACTGAGGTCCACCTCGGCTTGAAATGTTACCTAACATTTAATTACACCCTTAAGCCACCCACCCTTCAAATTTACTACATCCTCCTGAGGACATATAGGGGAAGCTGACATCTTCTCTGAGAGCTGAGCATTTCCAATGTCCTGCCAAACCTTCTTCTCACTCAATCAGTGTAATTAGCAGACGCTGCCAAAGGCCTTCACAGTCTGACAGGTCAGCCAAATACTCTCCACCTGGTCTCCGTGAGCATGCTGCACCTCGTGTTTGGAGAAGTCATTCAGGCCCTTGAATGTTATTCTCATTGAGTATAGATGGAATGACAATTTGTGGATGCCATTTTCACAAAAGCCAAACGTAAGATTGTTCATAGTAAGGTGAGGAAACGCATCAGTGTTTGCCTCTTGTAAGCTTGCTGCATTCATTCTTAAAATTCTAAAATTTAAATTTGCTTCTTTCTCTTACACCTTCAGATGAGCTTTCCCTGAAGTTCCATCAGCAGTACACATTCAACCTGTCTGGTCTCTCACGACTGGACGAACTGATGGAGGTGGAGCTGCGGGTTCTGAGGAGGCCACCGCCCGACGTCTTGAGTTTAATCTCCCGTGGTGGGAACCTGTACCGACTTCTCCTTCACACCTGCTCCATCCCGGGATCCTCTCACCAATCTCTACTCCTCACCTCCAGGACCATTGATCTTCTAGGTACTGCTTCAGCCACATGGGATGTGTTTGACGTTGGCGCAAGCGTGAAGACCCACCTCAAGTTGCACAGGACCTTGGAAGGCAGCAGGCCACTGTGTTTCAGCATATCGGCCGTTTCTGATTCAAATAACGAGGCCGTGCATCCCAGCATGCTGGGTCTGAGCCACGAGGATCAGCAGACCCATGAAAGAGCCTTACTGGTGGCCTTTTCTCGAGCTCGGCGGAAAGAGAACCTCTTCAGGGAGATCCGTGAGAAGATAAAGGCCATGAAAAGTCATAAATTTCCCACACGGGAGCATGATATTAAAAGTCATCCAAGACATCGGCGGAGGAGACGGACGGCACTAGCAGGCCGTCCTGGTGTGGGACCCGTTACAGGAGGCGGCGGTGGAGGAAAGGGAGGTGGCAGACGGAGAACACGTTGCAGCCGGAAGCCGCTTCACGTGAACTTCAAGGAACTGGGTTGGGACGACTGGATTATTGCACCACTAGATTACGAAGCTTATCACTGCGAGGGTTTGTGTGACTTCCCGTTGCGCTCACACCTGGAACCGACCAACCATGCCATCATCCAGACTCTCATGAACTCCATGGACCCAGAGTCCACCCCTCCAAGCTGTTGCGTTCCTTCTAAACTCAGTCCCATCAGCATCCTGTACATTGACTCTGGGAATAACGTAGTTTATAAACAGTATGAGGACATGGTGGTGGAGAGTTGTGGGTGCAGGTAGCAATGTGAGCGAGGGGTGACCTACCCCTGGACCCTATACGAAAGCTGCCGCTGCCTCATACGCAGAGGCCGAGCACTGCATTGTGGGGCAAGACGAAGCAGTCAGAGCTGGTGAGAGGGACAGTGTGTAAATGTGTGACAACGAGCATGCGTGTATGTTCAGACGGCGATAAGACATTGAGTTGTGTTTATGAAGCGAGCATAGGACGTGTGTGCCAAACGGCTCCAAATTCCCTTACAACACCAAATAAACAACTCCTCAACAGAAAATGAGTGAAAACCTGGGCTTTCCAGATTATTTTACATCCTGTTAATATAAACTCAATGATAGAGTGTTGAAGTATCCTTGCAGCAGGGGTAAAAAAGTTGGCCCCGTTAAGACTCGGAGTCTGAGAATCTGTCAGCGGTAGCACGCAACTATAACGTGTATAACAGTAAAGGTGCTATGCATGACAGTCAGCTTATATTCAAGATGAAATAGCTCTGCAGAATTCGATAGTTCCTCTGAAAATGTTTCTCAGAGGAGTCTAGCCGCCTTAATCAAATACGGCATTGACTGAGTGGAAGTTAACACTTTTGACTCCATTCTAAATCTAAGAGGTCAAAGTGTAGCTGGTTAGCCTGGCCTCATTAGCTCCTGCTGGTAAATGTCACATCTACACCATGCGGCTGCAGAAGCACCTTTCTCAATTGACGGCCATTCAAAAAAAGCTGTATATTCTAATGGAATAAAAAAAAAAATTAAAACACAGATCTTTTATTATATTAAAGTAGGTATTTTACCAGGATTTTTAAAGTGTAAAACTTGCAAACAGTCTTTTGTAACAGTGCAGGACAGTCACTAGTAGTGGATTTGGGACTGTGCATGTATTCTCATCCGAAGATGTCATCTAACTGACGCTTTTGACCATACGCCAACATCCAACGTTTTAGGGTACCCTTTAACGTCAGTTAGATGACGATCCTAGGGCGGCATCAACTGACGCTTTACCTTTAGCGTTAGTTAGATGACACGGGAAGGTTAGGTCTGGGGTAGGGTTAGGATTAGATAGCGTCATCTAACTGACGTTAAAGGGTACCCTAAAACGTCGGATATTGACGTATAGTCAAAAGCGTCAGTTATATGATGTCTTGGGATGAGATCCCGTCAGCCATAGGCCCAGGCCTCAGCATTGTCATGAGTCATGACTCATGATACAATTTTCCTGCAGCTTTAGAATGATTAGTCACATGACATTTATGGCTTCTTGGCAAGTGATTGGCTCGAAAAACACAGATTTAAAATTGCATACTTCTGAGGGTCTACTTGTCATACAAACTGACAGCTTTCTCCTAGTGCCTTCATAATCATACACAGTATGGTTGTCCTTTTTGTAAAGTCACATGTGAAAATTTAGCATGACAGTTCTGAATTTTATATACATTCGATGTAGAAAGGTGGAAATCTCAACATTGGCCCACATTGAAAAAAGAATAACACATAACAGTGTTTAGCACATCATTTTACATTCTTAAATCCTAAAAAGTCAAATTAAGCTCTTTAATAAGAATGAGAAATTAGGTGTTTTATAAAAAATGTTGATGAGACCACATTTGGCTTTGGTCGGATGATAAAGCTGCAGTATAGTACATGATGTATGCAATATGTGCTAGATAAATGACTTCATTGCATGGAACGACCTCAGACCTTTTTTTGTGAAAGGCACTGTGGAGCCAAAATCAAAATGATTGTTTTGTTTTATCCCGACACTAGATTTGGCTGTTTGAGTGTCTACTTTCAGGGTTCACTTACATTTACTGAGAGGGTTTGTTTACTTGCACTGCTAATTAGATTAGATTACTTTTAATCCTTTAATTCCATGCCTTATTATGGATTATCAAACAAATCTGCAGTATTTTCTCAAATGTTTGATTTAAATCATTTATGTAAGAATGATAGAAAAATTATACCATAACAAAAATAGACTTAATTTATGCCCAACCTAAAATCTTTAAAGGGATATGTTCACCTAAAAATAAAAACGATATCATCATTACTCAATCTAATGTTGTCCCAAATTTGCAAGACTTTATTTCTTCAGTGGTACATAAAATAATATGTTTTGAAGAGTGTTGGTAACAGTTTTGGTTACCATTGGCTTCCATTTTGTGTCCCAAAACAGAGATATTTCTAGAAATATATTTTATGTTCAACGGAAGAAGAAAAAAGTTTGGCTGAACTATCTCTGTAAACTCATTTTAGTTCAGTTTATAGGAAAGTTTTAAAATCTCTTCAAAATCTAAATCAAAATAAAGCTTAGCATTTGTTAATCTCATTGTCATGTCAGAAATATTTGCCTGCTTACTGTTTATATAACATCAACTGTTTCCTCTATGAAGAAACACAAAGCAGATATTTAATTCATAACAGCAACTGTTTCTCTTTCTTTTTTGACATTTCTCCATGGTAATTCCCCTCAATCAATGTTGGTCTCGCTGTATGGGAATGATAATCACCTAAATTGTCCACGGTGGCATAATGAAAGTTACATTCCTAAATCAACGGACCACAGAAGAATTAGCCAGAGCATCTGCGCAGTTCAGAACAACATAATGGCACGAAATCTGTGCGATCCTCAAGAAAACTTCCTGTGTGGTTTCACAGTACATTATTGCCATGACTGTTGGTGTACAAACTTGTTGTTTTGATTGTTTTTAAGTACTTTGGTGGAAACAAGTTAACTTTTAAGTTACCATTTCTTTTTAAACAAATTACGTCAAAGACAGTTGCATACCTCACAATATTTCTTAAGTTCCCATTCAATCCATGCTGGTCTGTTTTTGTTCTGCAGACTGTTTGAACTCAGGACTGTTTGAAAAGAGAAAGCAAAATCTATTTCGAACGAATTCATTTCATTTGGCCAGTCAAGGACAATTCAAGCAATATCTCCTCTCATTGTAAACATTCCCAACCGTATGTGCTTGCTCCTTAATCTAATTCCTCTCAAGGCAGTTTCTCCAAACAATTTGATTCTTTTTATAAGCAGTCTTTCTTTCACTATTGACACGATTGTGATATCACACCTAGCTGGAAAAGATTAACATTACGGGGGGCGCCATCTTTGGTTCAAGGATATAAAGAGGCATGAAGAGTGCCGTTGCCTCTTCTGTTGTTCGGAGGTCTGGAGGTTATCAGCTTAAGCGCTGCATGGGTTACTTCAGCTGTGTCTCACTACTTTACTAAAGTGAAAAGCCTTAGGAGACATTTAGTAGAGAAGGAGTTTCAATTCAGCATGCCAAGTGCTCTCAGAGAAATGAATGCAAAGCCTGCAGGATTGTCATGGTTCAGTGGAGAGGTTTGGCACCCCTCGGATATACATGCTGATCAGTGCAAAGCAATGTTAACTTACCTTCACCGATAACTGGTTTACTTTACTGTAAAGCAGGGGAAATATGTGTTGCTCAAAAACGGGAGGGGAGAACAAAGCCGTGACCGATTTTTTTCTTTCCTTTTACTAGAACAAAGACTTAAAATATAAGTGTAAATTATTGTACACATGCCAAAAACGCTTTATGTATTGTTATTAGGGCTGTCAAGCGATTAATCGCTTCCAAAATAAAAGTTTATGTTTACATAATATATGTGGGTGCACTGTGTATAATTATTTTATATATATAAATAAAACTCTTTTATATATTTAACACGCTTTTGTATTTATATAAACACGCTTTTATATATTTAAGAAATATTTTCATGTATGTACTGTATAGATTTATATATAGTTTATTAGAGCTGTGAAATGATTAATTGCGTGAAATAAAAGTTTGTGTTTACATAATATACGTGTATAATTATTTTGTATTATGTAAATACACACATATGCATGTATATATTTAAGAAAAATGTGTTTTTAATATATCAAATATTTATATTTATGTATAATATTAATTTTGTATAAATATATATAAAGTATATACATATAAATATTTCTTAAATATATACATGCATGTGTGTGTATTTATATATAGACAAAATAATTAAACACACTACACACACATATATTATGTAAACACAAACTTTTATTTTTGGATGCGAATAATCGCGATTAATCGTTCCACAGCCCTATAATTTATAAATATTTTATATATAAATATTTTTTTTCTTAAATATACATGCATGTGTGTGGATTTATATATAATAATACAAAGTGCACCCACATATATTATGTAAACACAAACTTTTATTTTGGATGTGATTAATCGGGATTAATCGTTCGACAGCCCCAGTATTGACTCCGAAAATGATCATTTTAAAGTAAAAACCAAGGATAATGTCCAAAAAGGGAGAATGTCTTTTTTATTGACTTTTTATTGAAAATGCACTGTGTATCTGAGAGTATGTATACTGTTAGATAAGGAATTGTATATAATTCAATTGTAAATTATCTGCAATATATTGTTTTCTTTTTTTTATTTTATTTTTTTTTTTGGGGGGGGGGGGGGGGGTATAATGTTTATTAGTATATGTATAAAAAAATCTATAAACAAATTTAAATTTAAAAAGCAAAAAGTAAACACACTTAGCATCTCTTCATACTTCTTTATTACATTGTCTTTTTTGTACAGATGATATATATATATATTTTATATACATAAATGTATATAAAAACACTCCCGCAGTAAATCTTCTTTCCCAGACATCCACATGAAAGTGAACCTTCGGTGACTGTCTGACTCACCCACGGTTCCGGAATCATTATTGGGTTTGTATTTTGTCTCATTTTTTTGCCAGCAAGTATTCAGGAAGTTTCCAGGTGATTCGAAATTCCGCACAACACGGGGGTGAAGAGGGGGATACGGTATTGTCCGGCGCTGGTAGGGGAGCCATGTGGCATTGTGTGCTAAACTCCAGGAAACGCTAATGTGTGGAGGGTCTCTGTGGAGGTTTTTTTTTTTTTCTTCAGAAATGAATGACTTTGTGCCCTGCCATTGAGCACTTGTCCAGAGGTTATATTATACAAGAGCAACGAGGAAATGGATCATCACTCACTTTTATTACAATACCTCCAATATTTAAAAAGGAGTAACAGAGATAACTTATTCAAAGACGTTATTGCCGTCTGTTAATCTGTTTTTGATGGATAGCAAAACTAATCTGAATCAAGGTCACTAATATTTCCTTTGTTGAGTCTACAGATACTGCAATAATACACTATATCAAACAATTATTAGAGACAGAGAATAGGTGGCCCCTCACCAAGTCCATTTTTTAGGGATGCTTTTAAATGAACACTGACCCCCAAATATTTGAACAACTGCCTGGAGTCCATGACAAGAGGGGATACAGTTTTTCTTTATGAGAGGAAAGATCTTTTTAGACACGCTTGTTTCTTTTTTATTGAATCATGTCGCAGAATCACAAGTGAGACCAAAAAAAGCACTGTCCAGACTTTGACATCTGTCCAGATGCCTTTTCCTGAGAGCCACTTCAGTCCATATAAAATCTCATTCAGGTCAAAAAGTTGATAGACAGCTCGAGATGGAGGAAATGATGAGGATGACATCCAAATGTTTTTTTGGGGGGGATTCTGTAGTAACACTGGCCTGTAATTTCCATTTAGACACTTGACAGTGGGTATTAAGGCTATTTTTAAAGATGAATGCATACAATTTTATTAAAAATGATTGAAAAAAACAATATAAAAGTAAATTTATTAATACACTGAATATTTAAAAGAATTATTTTCAGTTGACTAATAAGTGACCGTATTCCTAGGTCACTTGCTACATATTTTCTAAAACGTTTTTATCAGTATCGAAATATAAAAATAAAACCCATAATAATATTTAAAAAATATACTAAATACAGTATGATACAATCAATATTAAAAATGTATGGTCATTTATCCATTACTACATATTTTCTAACATGGAAATCTTTTTAAGTTTTCCATCATTAAAATCTATGTCTTTTCTCAAAATATTTCATAAAGTAAACATATGGAATCAGCTTGCCAAAGTGTTTCATGTGTCCCTTCTGAATACTTATACAGCATTACATCGAACGTATATGAAACTGGCACCCACCAAATACTAAAGACTCATAAAGTAGTAATTGTTCTGCTTTCATGCACATGGTTATCAGCACTTTTAAAATAGCTGAATGCAAAAGCAGGTCAGTGCATCAAACTCAGGCTTGTCTGGCTTGTCTTTTAGTGTGTTTTTCCCATTTTCATACATTTCTGCTCATTTTACTTTGCGTTTCGCTTCTATTACAAGCGCATGATTCCACTATTACACTCTGATGTTAATTGTAAATCATGTGCTTAAACTGATCTTTTCCCCTCAACCGAATCAATAGCAATGATGGGCCACCGTTGGGGACAATTCTGGCTCTCTGCAAGTTACACAACATGAAAAACATTTTCAATACTCCCGTGAGAGCAGGCTTGTGGGATGGGATGCACTGTTTGCTTTTCCTAGACTCAAAGTTTGTGTCATTGAAGGAGAATGTAGGACCTGAATTATATATATGAATAGGAAATAGCTACAGTATCTGTGCTCCTATAATGTTTTGGAAGACAAATCTCACAACAACACCAAATACAGTAGGCTTACATTTGGTAGAAAAGATCCATTTCAATTTTAACCCCAGATCAGAGCGTATCAGATGATGTTAAGTTGGTACAAAATCTGGGAGAGAGGGAACAAAGAGCAACTATTGTAATGTCAAAAAAAAACATAACAAAGACCAGGGGGAAAGAAAATGATCTATTGCAGATGATATTTGGCAGGAAAATACCAGAGTATCTTTGGAACGATTCTTCATCACCACAAGAGAACCCAAACCACTCTGGAGACGTAAAACAGTAAAGCTTGTTTGCTTTGCCACAATTCAATCCACCCGGGCAGGATTACTCCATTTCCTTCTATGAACTAGCCCTGCCTCCTGGTTTAAATCAAGGATAAGCAAATTAAGGGGCTTTGTCATTCTTTTTGAGACGGCTGGAAAGGAAGATCAAAGAGACCTGGGCTTACACGGAGAGTCCCGACTCTCAGAGAGAACGGGAAACAGATCAGATGGAAATATTTACTCTAGTCGCTCTGCAACAAGATGCGCCAATCACTGCCAGAACGGTCGTCCTACTGAAGACGACAGATTTCAAATCAACTGAAGTTGGTGTGAATAGGCCACGTGGCAGTACTTGTTGAGGACCCGTGTGGTGTTGTGCCAATGCCTTTTCCAAAGAAATATCTGTCATCGTTTAGTGGCCCTTGGGGGAATATCCTTGCCACTTTTTCACATACAGTATAACGAAAGTTTTTCACAGTATCAAAGTCACAATGAAATCAAAATGGTAAATTCTTATTTTTTCTGGGATATTGCAGTGGTTATTATAAATGCCCAATGACCCAATTCATGTTCCCTCATAATCAAAGTAACTTCCTGTCCCTCTTGCAGCGACATCTTTTCTCTTGTGAGTGGTGTGAGGTTGGGACAACCTATCCCAGCAAACCCCAAACATACAAAAATGCGTTCTGTGTGAACGGCCCTAAATGTATTTTTTTGAATGAGAGTAAAATTTGGTTATTGGCTCATAACCATCTACTCTGGTGGGCTGTTTAACAAGGCCGAGAATGCGATGATCGGATTTGCAAACAAATCATTCAGAATCAACTGATTTGATGAATAGATCTGACTCAAAATAATTATTTGCTAAGGAATTGGACATCACCTCTCTCAGCTCTTTCAATAAATAATGATAAAATTTGGTCTGTTTCATCACAAAGCTTTAGAAGACATGTACTTGAGTCATATGAACCAATTTATGATACTTTTATGGTGCTTTTTTGCAATTTTGGAGCTTGACAGTCCCAGTTCTCATTCATCTTTATTGTATGTTAAAATATGGACAGGATATTCTTCAGAAATTAAGAAAATAAGTCATACAGGTTTGAAACGACATCACTTTGAATATGAGCATCAGAGTAAAATATGAGAGTTTTTGATGTTTCATTACATTGACGGAGGTGGTTAGAGGAGTGAATAGCATTACGGGTCCCTGGGCATTTGGGGTAAACTCTCAAAATATTTCACTTGGTGATTCCCAGGAAACCATGCAAGTGGAGAACAAACCTACAGCCGGGTTTTCGTATAAGAGGTCCCGCTTTGGCTCCCCATTCACCATAAAGCAAACTCTTGGGATATGTCAGGAGCCAAGTTGGGGCCTAAAGAATCCAAACAGGTCTCAAGCTAAGAGAATAGCAGCTTTACAGGTAAAACACTATTCCAGAATCCTGCTGATGCAGTCTGGAGAATAAAAAATTATCCAGGGTTAATGTTGAGGTCCATTTATGTGGAGACAGCTCAAATATGCATAATTTCTCTGCCTTTAACCCGGTCATCCCAAGTTTCATTAAAATTCATAATATTGTGGTCCATGCTAGTACAGGCATTTCCTGCCATATTAATACATTTTCTCCTCAGAAAGAAATCAAATCACATGTAACATGTCCTGACTGTAAAACATTTCATTGTAAAACCAAAAAGAAAAGGTTCAAGGGATGAGTGAAACTTGATGGTAAAGCAATATACAGCAAAAGCTTTCCTCCTCGAGTACTGAATATCTGAATATTCAGAAGATTTCATTCATGACAATCAACATTGTAATTTGTATTTTAACTCTACTAAATGATTATAGCAAATACATAATATTCAAACTTTCTCTCCCAATGACAGAAAACAACTAACTAAAATTTGACAATGTCTCTTTACAAGCTTTTATTGATTCAATTGCAAAATGTTTTATAACAATATATCATATTTGTCAAGAATTTTCATTAAACTATACTTCGGTATAGATTACATGACATATTGTTTTTTTTACTGATGTTATTGTATTTTTCACATTTTATTATAAAATAACTAATGTTTTATGTTGAGAAAATTATTTTCCATCAAGAGGACAATATCTTCATGCCAGGATATATAACAAGAATCTTGTTCTTAAAGGTGCATTGTGTAATATTTAGGAGGATCTGTTGTCAGAAATGCAATATTATTTACATAACTAAGTTTTCAGTGGTGTATAAAGATCTTACTTAAAGCTGCAGCCTGAAACTTTTCCTCTTTGTCACCATCTCTGTTCAAAATCTGCAATTGCAGTTATTCGCGGAATTATCATCTTTACGTGGGTTGTAAATCGGCATGAAACAGCGCAGATGAACACAGTGTTTTGAGGCGAGTGCTGCTGTCAATCACCATGCTGTGTGGAGACTGTCATACAGAATCACAGATTCACTTTTTGAAAGTTTGACCAATATAAGAATTTTCACCAGAAAATATCTTCTGAACAAGCAAGTAATTGCAATTCCCAACCTCACCACTAGATTCTGCAAAAAATTACACAGTGCACTTTTAAGTGACTTGTCTGGTTGTCAAGTTTGGAAAATTACAGATTTCCACAAAAATAAATTATTTATGTGATACTACACTGAAAAGTTGAAGGACAATTTACATTTACTTACACGTGTTTGAGAATTAAATGATCATATATTTCACAATCTATTAAAATGTTTATGAATATTTTGAGAAAAATTTAAATATCACCAATACACCAGTCATAGATCGTGATTGTGAAGTGACACGTAACACGCTTCATATGTCACCATGGAATTCACATTGCACCGACACGCCGACCGACGGCAACAGACATTGAATGAAACAGCTTAATTTGGCATTTGTCGGGTCATGAAATGTTTGACCAGTGACAGACTGTGATCTAGTGATCTGTTGGTTCAGTGTGAATTAGCCAGCCTTACATTCTAAAATAATGGTCTTTTTTTAACTCACTCAAGGGGCTCAGTTGGAATATTTCCCTGATAGACATTAAAGTTGAATAAATGTTATTCTGGCCGTCAGAGCGTCTTCAAATCATCTAAGATCCACTCAGCCGTCATGTTAGCCATTTCCTCCCCTGAATCCAGGACGAATGCATGCCGGATGCCCCTCTCGCACAGACGAATGTCCCCTTCAGGGAAGTCATTTCTGATATCATGGTAATACTGCACAGGGCACCAGTGGTCTGTAGCTCCATAGTAAAAAATAATCTGAAAAAGCCAGAAAAGACAAACCTAAAATGATTTAAGTTGGTTCCCGCACTTTATGTGGGATTCACCACTAGGACCATATTTCTGATGCAATCTATGATGTAAGAATAACAAAAGTAGCAGCCCTCCCATTTGATTTGCATAGGAACCTGGACCATCACTGGAGTTTGTAGTATGTGCTCCTTCATATTCTCATATCCTCAGCTCACCTCATAATTTCAGAAACCGCCATCAATGAATGACATATGCCATCATTTAAAGCTCTAAAACTTTCTGCTTTGAGAAAAGGATATAACTAGGGCTGTCAAATAATTAAAAGATTTAATCAAATTACATTATACACCGAGTAACTGCATAAATGAATATTTGTTTAGAGAAAACCCTAATAAAAGATCATTTGTTTAATTTTAACTTTTTTAAATAATTTAAAAAAAAATAGGATTAAATATAATATGATAACATTATAATACAATAAAATCTTGAAAAATAAAATAAAATAAAATAGGTTTGGGTCATGGGGCATGAGTAAATAGGTAATTAATTGTACTAATTATTCATAATTAGTAAACTGACAGCTCTAGTCAAAAACATCATTTTGATTCAAGGTATGATCAGTCAAATAAATATCTTTTGGGAGATGAAACATCAAAGTAGACTGTTCATCATTTGCCATAAATCTATAAAGCAGAATGGAGAAAGTCTTTAAAAAGGCGGAGCAAACTGAGAACTTCACAGAGGATTCCAAATGGGAAAACAATTAAGATTGCATTTCAATAAAACAAAATATAAGAAAGATTGACATTAAATCCGCTACGTCCACCAAGTTCCCTTCAGACACCGGTGTGGACACTTGAAGGGTATTTCCTTGAGTTAGGCTTCTGTAACCTGGGCTGAATGATGCCAATAACATCAATGTGAAAGGAAAAACCACCCGTGCAGATTTCTAAAGTCTATTTATTGGTGAGACCTCGAGAGCCGTACACAATAGAAAGATCAAATTCTCTTGTCAACTGCTTTGCATGATTTCTCTGACAAACTGCATAATGTATAGCCTTTGCCGACTGTACCAGTTAATCATGATGGGTTCTACATCTGTCGGCCTGATCGATTTCACCACAGCCCATAAATCTAATAGAGGAGTCAGATGCATGTGGTTTAAGGCTGAGAGGGGTTTAAACATATGACCTCCTGTCTTCACCTTCAGCTTATTCGGAAGAAAATTATTCTAGCATCGCTATTGGCAAGCGAGACGGACTGCGAAGCCGATACCAAAGAATGTCACATACCCTGACACCCATACGGACAAACAGACAATGGTAGTCAGAGACATGGACGGAAAAGTAGAGCTTCCTTCCTCCATGGAATTATGGGTGGGATGCTAAAAGATCCGACCGGGAAAACATTCGATCCAAACATTCGTTTCCAGAACCGAGGGAATTTCTGAAGCTTTGACCAGGAATTACTTCGAGTCGAAGTGTTATGTGTAACATAAGAAAGCATGCCTCGAGTATGTGACTCTTAAGAGCGGTGACGATATCACCTTTTTAACTGATGACAGATATAGACCATCAGGAGCTCCTCTGCATGTGTATGTAGTCTCTGCTTTGTATTACACCACAGTACTGAAAGGAACAAATGGTTCTTCCGCCCATGCTTCCATTGAGAAAACGGAAGGGTGGGTCGGAGGAACGTGCTTTGAGATCTGATATCTTTAGATTGGTTATCAGCTCTCTAAGGGTAAGTCAGCATGGGTTTCATCTGCGTATAACACGTTTAAAGGTTTGTTCAACGCACTTAAAGGAGCACTGCGTAAGTTATGAAATTTCTAACCGTTACTGACACCAGTGGCCGTTAGACAAACTGCAGCCAGTCTCATGCTCGTTCTCGGTGCGTACGCTCATACATTGTAAAAAAAATCTTTTCATAATTAGTAATCACAACATTTTTTCTTTTGTCAAATCAACTTAAATAATTTATTTAGTTCAGATAACATATAATTTTGAGTTTCTGATGATTAAATCATTCGCTTTCATCGTATTAACTCACTTTTTCCATTTCAATGAACTTAACATTTTAAGGCAACCAGGTTACTTGCTTTTTTAAGTTAAACCAACAATGTTTTTTTTTGCACGAACACAGCAACCACAGACGGCTCATTGAGATTCACCAGCATGTTTACAGACGTAAGAAAAGTTACAGTACTGTAAGGTTATAGTTTGACAGCACGGGATCTGTTTTTATACCCAGCGCTGACCGGAGCTCCCTCCAATCAAATGCAGCCGATGTTGACTCTTGTCTTTGCCCGACGCCGGTCACTCTCTATTTTGGACGCGCTAGATTAAACTTTTTTTTTTTTACTTAAGTGTTTCTCTGGATTGTGCTGGAGGCTGGTCACTTCTTTCCATCAGCAGAGTCCATTTGAAACACTACTTCTAGCGATTGCCGCTACTTACTAATGGCTGCCGTACGGATGTAAGCCCAAGTAGACGAGAACACACATGACATCACATTTTGTGAATTTTCGCGTCAATTCGTACCCGACTCCTCCACACACATATGAGCCCACAGGCTGATAGAGGCAACCGTGGTGGAGAGTCAAAGTGTCATTCTTTCTATTACATTACGGTTGGCTTATAAATGTACAAATGTAAACTCTATCTTAAGGATTTTTTAAAAGTAAAAACCTACACATAGCCCCTTTAATATGTAGGAAATTAAGGAAAGCTGTTTCATCTGATTGTTTCAGTAAAAACAAATAACAATCGGGGACAATGCTACAAATGAATTATTACATCATAGATCACCAGTCATCTATAAGTGATCTATCAACATTTTGGCCACAGACAATATTGGCAATTGCTCTTTTCCACTTTTTTTTCATATTTAGATAACCTTTGCCATCATGTAATGCTCATGTTATATTTTAGTTCAATCTTTAAAAACATTATTAATTTAATAACATTGTTAAATGCAATCTTTGGCCAATCTCAAAATTAACATACTGTACATTATTATGTGATGCCTAGCAATTTAAATTAGTTTTGTATATTATTATTTAGACAAAATAGTACATTTATCACTTATATAATATTAGAATTTTGTGAGAAATGTATCCCTACATAATTGTACTATTTATTTATTTGAAATATAGTGCATAGTTTAATGTATTTCTACAAAATGACTGACTGAATAATAAAACATGCATTATAGAGAGAGTAATAGACTAACACAACATCTCATAAGATACATTGTAGGATACAGATGTTCTTGAATTAGCCACAAATCAGTTCAAGACTGTTGAGAATAGAGTTTGTTTAAAGTAACTTGATCAATTCTGACATGTGCATAATTACACCATTTTGTCTATCCTGTCATTTGATTCAAACAGCACTTTAAATATTGTTCCTTCCTTTCTTCTTATGTGAAATAAATCACTAAAAAGTTATCTTATTAAGATGAATAGAATTGATGGTTGTTCAAAACTAATTTAAAATTAGTGTTTTCAGCTTTTGGCCATGTTCTTTTATTTGCTAAATCACTCTAATCTTCTGTGTGTTACCTTGCTGAGGTGTTGACGAATAGTTGCGTTGTCTCTTTCTACAACCAGTCTCATTTCTTGGCTTCCCATGTACATACCATTGGCTGTAGAGACAAAGAAACAACAACAGAGACAGATGTGTGGATTAGCATATCACAAAATTGCAATAAATGAGGTAGTGCAAACAGAACTTTGTAAACATTTGCATTACACATCGGCCACTGCAAGGTTTACTAAACATGTAGAGTATCAAAATTAAATACACATCCAAAAACGGCACAACCTCAAAGGCCAGTGCTCGTACAAACACGGAAACAGCAACCAGTTCATGAGGATTACATCTGTTCCCGTTCATATTTACTGGATGTACACTCCTACTAACAGTTTAATGATGCACAATGATGTCATTGATTTAGGGTTCAGACTCTGTGCACTGAAGTGACGTATGTCGTCTATGAATATTTCAAATGGTGTGTTCCCAGGTTTCTATGTGCAGGCTTTGCAGAGTGGATATTTAAAAGAAATGCCATTGATGTGTCCTTTTTCTCTTTTAGGTGAAAAGGTAGGTCTGTGTATGTGTGTATATATATATACACACACACACACACACACACACACACACACCTAATGTTTGACCGCCTTTTGCCTTCAGAACTGCCTTAATTCTACGTGGCATAGATTCAACAAGGTGCTGAAAGCATTCTTTAGAAATGTTGGCCCATATTGATAGGATAGCATCTTGCAGTTGATGGGGATTTGTCGGATACACATCCAGGGCACGAAGATCCCGTTCCAAAGATGCTCTATTGGGTTGAGATCTGGTGACTTCGGGGGCCATTTTAGTACAGTGAACTCATTGTCATTTTCAATAGACCAATTTGAAATGATTCGAGCTTTGTGACATGGTGCATTATCCTGCTGGAAGTAGCCATCAGAGGATGGGTACATGGTGGCCATAAAGGGATGGACATAGTTAGAAACAATGCTCAGGTAGGCCGTGGCATTTAAACGATGCCCAATTGGCACTAAGGGGCCTAAAGTGTGCCAAGAAAACATCCCACACACCATTACACCACCACCACCAGCCTGCACAGTGCTAACAAGGCATGATGGATCCATGTTCTCATTCTGTTTACACCAAATTCTGACTCTACCATCTGAATGTCTCAACAGAAATCAGACCAGGCAACATTTTTCCAGTCTTCAACTGTTCAATTTTGGTGATCTCTTGCAAATTGTAGCCTCGTTTTCCTATTTGCAGTGGAGATGAGTGGTATACGGTACCAAGGCATTTACGCCCACATGACTGACGCATACTGGAGGAATAAAACAATGATTTATTCCTGTGATGACAAAGCTGTGATGTCATTACTCCAGTCTTGAAGGTCACATTATCCTTTAGAAATCATTCTAATATGCTGATTTGCTGCTCAAGAACTTGCAGCTCTATACTATATATATATATATATATATATATATATATATATATATATATATATATATATATATATAAACAGATTTAGATTACAAAAATATCTGCTTCAGAAACAATGAGGAGTTTTGAATAGATTAATCTGATTAAAACTTGAAAAAACAAAAAAATTAAAACTTCAATGTTGGGTTTGTTTATGGAGGCATTCCATACATTCCATACATTATATTCCAAGTAAATATTCCAGTATGCATGCCTGTATATTCCAGCCCCTAACTTAAACCTACCCATTAAAAAACAAAACAAAAAAAAACTATGCATTTTTACATTTTCAAACATCACTTAGTATGGTGTATAAGCTGTTCTCATGGGGACCAAAAAAAATCATACCCACAAGGACAAGTTTGGATATTGCCATCTTTGTACATGATGTACAATTGATGCCCTTGGCAACAATTCTAAGAGACTGATCCTGATCTTGCGAGGTCCAAACATTTGGCCAAGAGATGTGTTAATATCCTTTTTCATCAGAACATTCCATTGATGATTTTTCATCCTCAGAATATGGAGGAAGTGTGTACATGTGTGTGTGTGTGTGCGTGTGTGTGTGTGTGGGTGCATGAAGAAAGCATCTGTGTGTGTGTGTGTAAGGAAAGACTCCTCAAATGACTTGCTTCCACTGAGTGAAAAGGAAGTGTGGGTATGATCACACATCCGCACGGCTCTAATGCTATCATATTAATCATGGCCGTGTACTATATCATCCAGCACTGTTAACACATTTCACAAGACTAAGAGCCACATACTAAAAAGGTAATCAATTTTATCCCTTTCTCAAAGCAGAAAAGCACAGGGAAAAAAATGTTTAGAATAATTTAAAGTTATGCCATGTTTCATTAGTAAGTCCATTCTTAATGTTTCCTCTTTCAGATTGGAGAGTTTAATTCAGCACTATATTTTTACAGAGGAAATGATTTTTGGAAATGGGGTAAACTGAATGAAAGCCTTCTGTGCAAACTATGGGGTTTTCCACATTTGGTGCTTGCGAAAAGAATTATTACAGTCCTTAGTATGAATATTTCCCTACTAAATGGTATCCAAAAAAGCAGTTCATCAAATTAGTACCATGTCCAAATCCAAAATATTGATAAAACCCTTAATAAATACCCAGATGACATACTGCTTCTATCAAAGGTATCTGATGTTGTAGGTCACGTGACAGTGGCAACATGGATGATGAATATCCACACACCAGCATATCAATTGAATATCATGGATAATTGGGGGCAAGAACCATAGCTACAGCCTAGCAACAAGCTAAAAACACAACTTCACAACAACAAAGACCATGACAACCGAACATTAAAGAGTACAAATCTAGCTTCAGGTCTGATCTGTAACTTCCTTCAATGCATGCCTTCACACAAAAAAAAAAGAAAACAGAGTGTGCCAGTCATATTTCAAAGAACTGAGCAAGTGGGACTCATGGTAGAATGTCTCCTTTATTCCCAGCATCAGAGAGGTTTCAGACTCACTTAAGTGTTTGGGTTGGCTGCTTTTTGCTTCCAAATAAATGTTAAAGCTATATGTAAGCTTTCCTTTGCATTTTGATGTGTACTAAAGGGAGACATGAGTCATTTGAGATGAGGTGCAAACAAATATTTGCCGTAGAACACAATGAACACATAGAAGACTTACTAAGGCATCTAATTTTATTACACTAAACACATCACAAACAACATCTCCACCCACTGAGGTAAACTGGATCAGAGGATGTTTAAACTAGAGGGTTTTACAGAAGAGTAAAGTTCACTGCATTTCCACAACCTTTACCCTATGATTCAAATACAAGAATCGTTGAATGTAAGTAAATAATCAGGAAGGCCTGTTCCATTTTTTCGATCAAATCACGATATGTGAGAGAACTGCAATCATTGTGCCCTTTAAATCTCGATTACATATTATCATATATCCAAATAAGAAAATTTTAAGTTGACATATTTCCGGAACTTTAAGCGTTTGATTAATTCTAAATCCTTGATGCAAATTGTTACTTTGTGAATGCAAAGCAATCCACTTTACGAAATTACATGAAAGTATTGAAATGCAATGAAAAGAGGAGATGGGACCATTTCTTTAGGTTGGGAATGAAGAACATATTAAAAACAAACGTTAAGTTTCTTTAACGAGAAATTAAGGCTAGATTGCTGAAAATACATAAAAAGTTAGAACAGAATCATTATTCTGTGATGACGGATGGATGGACAGATACAGACAGACAGACCTCTCATTAATATTCAGGTGAGTGGGTTAAAAAAAATTAAAAGTGTGAAATGAGAGTGGATGTGACTAATTAAAATATTAACTCTTTCCCCGCCAAACACGGAATTTTCCGTGTTTAATGAAAAAACGCATCTGCGCCAAACACGGAATTTTCCGGGTATCCGTGTTTTAGGTGGTATACGGTAAGGAAGACCCGCGCGCATGTCCTGAATGATTGCGCAACTCTTTGAGCAGAGAAACAGATCGCAATCGTCTCAAACAGTGGAGTAGTGAGAATGTATCAGACACACAATGCAGAGGTATATGGCTGAAGTGCTGGAGGTTAATGGACTCGGAGTCCGATCACTCTTTATTTGATAATTCTGAATCTGATCGGGACGAAGTAGTCAGTGAGAGAGATGCACATGTTCATGCTAGCCATGGACGTGCCGCAGATAGATCGTATAATATTATGACACTATAATATGTATGTGTGTGTGCAGGCATTTATGTGTGCCTGTCTAAATATGAAGGTGTAATTGTCAAATTATTTCTCTCTTTGTGCACATTTACCACATTGTAATATGTATTTGTGTGTGTGTGTGTGTGTGTGTCTAGGCCTGTTTATTGTAATTCCAATTATTCATTATTCACAGGTAGAACACAGAGAGGCAGAGGCAGAAGTTTTATTGCAAAAGTTACATTTCCCTTACATCCTGGGAAATTTGATATATTTTACATTTATTTTATGTTTTTAATTTATTTTGGAAAGTTTTATATATGAAGGAAACAACATCTGAATGTATTCTGCTTTTAAATGCACTTGTTTGATAAAAATACCTTTTTCTCAGTTTTTTGTCCAAAATGTTGTGTTTTTGACAAAACCTACCTCTGTTCAAGAGGCAATAAAAAAAGAACAGATGAAGATAAAATAAAAACGTTTTTTTTGCCTAAAAGCAGAGGCTCAGATCTTTATTTTTATATATATCATCTTCATATATTCATGGAAGAAAATATTCAGCGGGGGCATTCAAATTTAGCGAAAATCGTCAAAAACCCTGGCGGTGGCTGGCAACTTTTTTTTTAAAACGCTGGCGGGGAAAGAGTTAAGACATTTAAACATTTCAAATATTAAATTTATGTTTTACAACCCTATGAAATATCAGTTTAGAAAACCCCTTAAATCAAAGATTTTATGTCTACTAGTTTAGAAAAATAACAGGAAATGACTTTCCCTTAAGTTGTGTGTGAATACACTGCAAGTGTTACGTTCCCAAGTAGTATTCTAGGGGCAAAAGGGAAGTAACTTTTTAAAGCAAAAGTTAGTTAACCGATCTGAGTCCTATTACACAATACACAAAGTAAGTGACAGACAAAGTGAATAATTTTAACCTTATTTGTGTGACAATT